ACTTAACTTTTTTTTTTACTATGGTGTGTTGAAGGATATTTGGTTTAATACTGATCTCATGCTCTAATGCACCATATTATACATATTTAAATAACCCACCTCATCTTCCCCTCTATGGGCCTGTCCATATAAGGTTAAAATAAGTGGGGGCTCGTCCGGGATAATATTGTCACCATATTCTGCAATGTTTTTGTGTGGTGAATGGCACTGAGGTCTTACGGATATACACTGGGAAAAAAAGTGTAGAAACAATTTTTACTACGAAATTGCTAGTAAATGTAACAAAATTTTTGTAAAAAAAACATCTTTGAATATATATATATATATATATATATATATATATGTGTATGTGTGTGTGTGTGTGTGTTTACTGTTTTTTTTAATATCGTGTGTTGAAGGATATTTGGTTTAATACTGATCTCATGCTCTAATGCACCATATTATACATGAATGTTAAATGAAAGCAACTCATTGTCTCATTTCCTAGCTACAAAAGACAACATCTGGCAGCACAGAGAGCTGGCAGGCGGGTTGCAGTACAGATTGCAGAAAGATGACAGTTTGTTCAAGCACCACTACTGCCTGTCACTTGGAGTGCTGCAGTGCCACTACAACCCTGTCATGCCTCAAACTGACAGGTGACGTGAACATACCCAGCTCCGCCACCAGGGGTCCTCACTGTCCCGCACTGCTCATGGCTTGTTTGCTGCTCTTCTGGATAGTCAAAGTCTTCACTTGAGCATAACAAAGTCACATTTAATAGGCAATCCAAGGAAGTGCCATTTTCTATTAGGAGAGTGTATGAGTGTTTTAAAGCTGATTGTACTTCTTTTACTGTCACTTTCACATTTTTTTGTGATGTAAGCAAATGAAGGTGTGTGTGTGTGTGTGTGTGTGTGTGTCTGTAAGATCAGCATGAGAAGCAGAATGTGTGTGTGTATATATATTACATATGTGTATAGATGCCAAATAAGCTTTACCATTGGCATCTGCAGAGAGTTACATCAAGTGGGAACATGCCTGTTGTTGGATTCTTTTTATAACAGAGTAAGACAGAAATTATACACAGAGGAATATATTAACTCTGCAGCGACAAGTATGAGGTTTGTTTCCTCTCACAAGTTGTGTATCTTTGATTAATTCTTGCTCTTTTTTGACGTTAATGTACACTCTAAGAAAAAAAAAGTTTAGTAAATGGACTATGTCTTGGCAGAAAAGTACCACTATCATTTCCGTTAGGTTCAAGGACATCTCCTTCAACCCTATAACACAATGCACAACTGGTGAAACACCTGAGAAAAATCAATACATATTAACATGGTACATTGGGCTGTATATGTATGGACTTTTCTTACAGTGCACGCATGTTTGAATTTTGATTACATTCAATCATAGTGATCTGAGGCTTCTTTTCTTACTCGTATTTAGTTTGGTGTCCACTGTACACAGGTTTGAAGCTGGAGTCAGTGCATCAAGAGTCTCCACGCTCAGACGCCTTCAGGAAAAGAGCTACCAAGCCACTTCTGAAACAGAAACAACGTCAGAAGCATCTTACCTGGGCTAAGGAGAAAAACAACTGGACTGTTGCTCAATGCTCCAAAGTCCTCTTTTCAGGTCAAAGTAAATTTTGCATTTCATTTGGAAATCTTTTTTTTTTCACAATATTCAAATTTTTTGAGATGCACCTGTATATAATGACCAAAAAAAAGCACCAGCACCAGTCCTAAGTTCACGGTTACCAAGTTTTAATTCTAATTACTAAACTTCTATTATTAAATAATACTTGATTATCATATTATAATGCTTGACTGCTTGATATTAAGAGTGTACTTTCAGATATTTAAAAAGCTGATATCAAATATCAAACATTATATATGTTTGTATAATGGCATATCTTATATATATATATATATATATATATATATATATAGTATAGTATAGTATTCCATACCAAACGCAGCCTATGTATAGTGTGCATGAATAAAAGTAAAAAATATATATATATAATAAAATAATATATTGTTAGTAAATTTCTATTTAGCTTTTTCAGTTTTGTTACCGAAACCATCATTTACTTGAAATATTACTTTAGTTGCTTTTCGTGTACTATTATTATTATTATTATTATTTGTTTTTATGATTTTCCACTAATATTTATATTTATTTTAATCTTTATTTCAATTACATATGCATTTATTTATTTACATTAATACTAGTGTGCTGTACTATTACACTAGTATTCCATACTAATATATATATATATATATATATATATAGTATAGTATAGTATTCCATACCAAACGCAGCCTATGTATAGTGTGCATGAATAAAAGTAAAAAATATATATATATAATAAAATAATATATTGTTAGTAAATTTCTATTTAGCTTTTTCAGTTTTGTTACCGAAACCATCATTTACTTGAAATATTACTTTTTATGCTTTTCGTGTACTATTATTATTATTATTATTATTTGTTTTTATGATTTTCCACTAATATTTATATTTATTTTAATCTTTATTTCAATTACATATGCATTTATTTATTTACATTAATACTAGTGTGCTGTACTATTACACTAGTATTCCATACGAAACACATCCTATACATAAAGAAGGATTGCATACTACGGACAGTATGCATATTATACAGTACTTCACAAATAGTAATTGAGACATGCTGTTCAAAACATTGCAAATACGAACGATAGCGCCAACTAGTGCATGTGTCGTAAAGGAGTAGTGGGTGGGATCCGAGACCATCCTACCAAGTTTGGATCTCTGCAGTCCTTGACGCCACTTCTTGGCCAGAAGAAAAGTAATATATCTCAAGAGGAGAAAATCAGAAGTGGCTCTGATGAGACTCTTGATAACCGATTACACTCTCTTGAAGTCTTGAATCTGCTGCGTGGCATTATCGGACGGGAAGTCACTGGACCATGAAGACAGTAAACCACTTCAGACCGTTATCTGGCACGCTTTGAACGTCTGTTGATGTAAAATGATCGAAAACGACAACTCTTACGCGTGAAGTATCCGGCGCAGACTCGCTGTGAAGAATGGATCAGTCCGTGGCAATTCAAGAGACTTTGGCCAAAGGAGAAAACTGCACCCTAGTATCCTCTCAGCGCTCATCTGAAACCGTGACTGCATTGCAACGTGATTTTGAACCCGACTGCATGTTACTTACGAACTTAAGATTGTTGCGTAACGTTGCACTTTCTAAACATACTATATGTATGCCTATAAGAAATATATCTAAATTATAGAGTGAATGTCACGTAGTCAATGTTCTCTAAATGTCTGTTTACAATGTATCTTACTAAGCACGCACTGTTATTTTTTCTCGAGCATGCCCACTTTTAATAGAAAAAGGAAATTTCGGATAGTGTAATTCCTGACGTTTCCGCTAGATGTCGCAATTGTGCAGTGTTAAAAATGGCTCTTATAACCCGGGCATCAGTCATCATTGGTTGACAGAAACGTAATGAATTGTGTTAGATATCCTTAGCAGCCCAACACATGCTGTGGAGTGTGTTTCACTGCTGAATGATGTGAGAGAGAGCAAACTCATCGGACTGGTGCAGCAGAACAACGAACATGCGTGAGTTTATGGACTTTTAAGAAAACCATTATAATAATTGTCATCAATAACGTTAATATGCATTACTTCATAACACACAATTGGAATTTTGTAGGGTTTCGTCTATGTAGTTGAGACTAACATCTAAATCTGAATAAATATTTTAGCAGGTACCGTACTGGCGTGCCCTCAAACAAAGTTATGAACAAACAAACATTCTTCCATTAATGATAATAGAATGTTCGTTTGATGTTATCCTTCTTTAATAATGATCTCAAATCGTTAGCACAAAAACATTATTTTAACATTGTTCACTGAAATTTTGTGAAATATTTTTGTTATTTAAAGGTTTTTTTAAATGTTAATCTAAAACTTACTAGTTACATTTACATTTAGTCATTTAGCAGATGCTTTTATACAAAGCGACTTACAAATGAGGACAACGTAAGCAATCAAAATCAACAAAAGAGCAATGATATGCAAGTGATATAACAAGTCTCAGTTAGCTTAAAGCAGCACATGTAGCAAGAATTTTTTTTAATTACCGTATTGGCCCGAATATTAGACGACCCTGATTATAAGACGACCCCCCTTTTTCCAGATGTACCTTTTGGAAAAAGGCTTTTTAAAAAACAAATCTTGTTTTTTCTCAGTAAAACACATTTTGTCTTCAATTGTTTTCATATTGCATATTTTTCCTATTTTAATTTTTGTTTTGAAAGTATGGTAAAAACTGGTAAAATGTACCAACAATCACATTTAAAAAATATACACTTTTTGATATACCACTAAAAAAAAAAGAAAAACAGGTAGCCCATCTGAATTAGGA